GGGGGGGGGGGGGGGGGGGGTGTACTCATAGTCGTGCATGCCGTAGTCGTTAGACCATTGACCTCGCTTCCCTACAAAGCCGGGACGGAGCACGCCGGGTTCTCACCGGACCAGGCTCTCACATCACCAAGCGCGAAGCGGGGTGAAAAAATTGCAAACTTTGCGGATGAAAGCGAAACTTGCTGAAAAGCTCTCGTGAGTACCAACCTTCGACGTTAGCACCGTTGACGAGGGAAGGGGACGGCTGGACCCTTCCCGCGATAAAAATAAAATTCAGCACGCACCGCAGGGGGAAGGAGGGGCATGAAAAGCCCTAGTTGGTGTTTACCCCCTCCTGTGTGAACCTGGATGGGTGTAGTTGTACGAAAAAAATGCAATGAAAAGTGTAGTACTCTCCATACGCTGAAAAGTGTATTTAATACAAGTCTCACCACGAAAAATGGGGGGACTGTCGCCATAATAAATAGGACGAACACACACAACACACACACACAACATAACCCCTTCGCCGCCAATCAATGAACACAGACTACAAAAACGACTAAACGACAGTAACAAAATTAAATTACTTCGAAGTACTAGATTACTCAGCAAGAAACAGCAGCTTCCTTACGCAAAACATTTCAACAGCAGAGCGAGAAGAGGGCACAAAAACACCTTGAACTGCCCCCCCACGACACGGTGCAATCATGTCTCGGGTCTCAACAGAGTACCTCTGCGAAAAAACAAAACAAAACTCTGAACCAGACAGAGCGTAAATGCACAATATTCAGAGGACACTATAGCACCCATCGCCTCCAACTCCTCCGCAACTGAGTCAAAAATAACGCCTACAAATATATAAAAAAAAAAATCAGACACCCTCGAATGTTGTGGAACGACAACTCAGCATCTGCGATTCTCTCTTGGATGTTCGAAGGTGTTTTGGCCGTTTCTCGGTGCACAAGCAATTGCACAAGCCTCGCTCTACGTAACCAGAATTCGACGACGCAAACAGAGCAGCTGTTTCGCGCTCATGTAAGGAAAAACACTGTAACAAGAAGTGTGAAGAACCTATGGATTTCAAACAACAACCAAAAACAATTCCTGTGAGGCGGGACGCTGAGCCCACCAATCACACACAGCCGGCACGGCCTGAATCAGGTGCACAGATTGTACACGGAAGTTGCGACGTGTCGTCACCTGCTACAGTACAGCAGCACCGCCTCACGACCGCTCACAGAGAGACGGTAACGCAAGGGCAAAGGGCGACAAAACGGTAGCACGAGAAGAGCAAATCAACACACAAACAAGAAGCCCCTCCCCACGACGGCAGCGTAAGGGGTAACGTCCACCAAATAGTCGCAGGTCAAAATATCAGTTAAACGGACACGACCCCCCCCCAACTCCCAGCAAAACCAAAACCACGACGGCATCCACCCGGCAAGTGGAAACTCGATCCGAGCTCTACCCAAAAACAGACCGAAGAACCTTCCTTGTAACACGGTGAACGCCGCTTGTTGCCCTCAGCAAGACCCCCATGAGCCCGAGAACGATTGAGGGTTTCCGACTCAAAATGTAACGTCTTGGTTCTGTCACAAAATTTATTGAAAATCATCCCAGCAAATTTCACCACAACCCTCAAAATACATGCAAGAAAAAATAAATACAGAAATATGTAGCAATACTTGAGCGTCACTACCAAGTACTAAAATTGGACGACACCAACATCCGACAAAATCAAATACGTCCTACAGCATTGGACATCATCAAATTACATACCACGCACGAAGGAATGTCAAGGGCGAAGCTCTCGAGAACACACCGTGGACTGCTCCCCATATTCATTTCCCTTCCGTATCTACGGCGAAACGGCGCCTCGCCTCCAAGCGGGGGTCATCGTTGAATAAACGCGCGGAGCTCGATTGCTGGTCGTATGACACACATCAGGCCGCAAAGTCCCTTCCGCGTACTGCTGCACCAACACAAGAAGCGGCTTCTTCTAGGGAAGTAAGCCGCCCAGCCCACCAACCGCATTGACGTTGGGAGGCGTGCGGGCACAGTGCATCACTGGGGGGGGGGGGGGGGGGNGGGGGGGGGGGGGGGGGGGGGCGACGCAAGAAACAAACACAAACGGTGAGATACCCCCCGGTAAGGCCTAGCGACCTCCCTCGAAACTAAGACCATACCACCAAATATTGAATACCCCAGAGCATTACGTAAGTCCAACCCGTCGCCACTAGCACTACTGGAGTCCTCCCCCTCTTCACACTGCAAATCAACTCACCGCATGTCTGGCTTGGCGCCGCAAACTCAAAGGATGATGACGACCCAGCCTCTGCTTCATTCTTGTGAATCGTACACATAGCCTAGGCCGGCGAAAAATCCGGCTTTACAGATCATTCCGTCCCGCCGATCAAGGGATGCGACGTCGCTGCTCCAACGACTCCGGCATGCGTGTACGTGAGTCCGACCTCATCACCTTTCGTCGTGAGTCCGACCTCTTGACCCTTCGTCGCTCGTCTCCCGATTGTCTGGCAGGAATCGAGGGGCCAGCTTTGCGCGAGACAGGTAGCCGCGGATGAGAGCCTGAGCGCGAGCAACTCCTCGCCGGGACTTGGCCTGCTCCTGAACCTCGAGCGCCTTACGTCGCCATTCCTGCTCAGGGTTTCGTGGCGTGTTCGTGGGCGCTACTGAGGGGGGGGGGAGGGGGGGGGGGAGTGGCTTCGACAGCTACTGTAGGACTCGTGCCGTGCATCTAGGAAGAGCGCATCCCTTCCCACCTCCCCCGCGCTCGCAGGCTTACCGTTTAGGGTGTTTTGCTGGGATATGACAGAGACGTTCTGTCCCCCAGCAGGAAAACCTCCGGCGAGCGGAGGGTACTTCAGCCCTGGTTTGCACTATACATTGCAAGGAACATGTTCGAGCCGTCATCACCTGACTCGTGTTGACTACTGAACGATGACAGCCAAACAGGTCAATGATGACCAACAGCATCGACCCAAAAAGCCATCTGTTATTCTTCCGAAGCATCGAAAACGAAAAACCACCTGCACCTATTCCGAAACTCGCCGAAGCAAGATAGCAACAGCAGCGGCAAAACAAAAAAATCACCTCCACTTCTTCCGGAGTCACCATGATCGACGAACCCCT